AGAGGCTGCGTGTGTCACCTGGATTGTTCTTATCTGCCTAAGAGGGTGTCTCTCCCACACTGCTAGGACACTTGGCTGCGCTGTCCTCCCTGGTCTGGTTAAGACCCACATACCGAGCTGTTAGGACAGCTCCACAGTCCGGGTCCATTCCTGGAGCACAGCTTCAGGTTGGCTGCTTTGGTTCGCCAACCCAAATTCACAGGGCACAGGGTCACGGTAACCCCAGCCCAACAACTGGATTCCCCCACAACCCCCCGCAGCTGGGCTTTCACAAACACATCTGCAAAAGAAATGAGCTCTCACCACGCCCCGTAGAGTTGCTGTGGCCTCGTGGGGCTGAAGCAAGGCCCGGCCAGCTGCTAGCTTCATTTCCAGCACACCAGGGCGCACGCCGGCCCCCTTGGAGCCCAGCGTGGTCCCGGCACAGCCTTTTCCATAGAGGTCTTGCGGGCACATACTCAGAGCAGGGAGTGGACTCCCGAGACTTGAGGAAGAACACAGCGCCCTTCCCGAGACAGAGTTAAGATGCCTCGAAATGCCTGGGCGTCTCACAGCTCTATCCCATGTGAAGTTAGGAAACTGGGGCTGTGTTTCCCTCCGTTTCCGAGAGGCCGAGCCAGCCCTGGCTCAGCTTTGCTGCCACTACCGAGGTACTTAAAGGCTGATGAAGGGATCGGCAGGACCTTTAGGAAGAGCTTTTGAGCAGTGCTCCTGCCAGCTCAGACCGGGACATCGCACCCACTAGTTGATGGGAACCTGAGTTCTTGCAAAACAAATGCTCGGTCTTGGGTCGATTCCTGCCATGCCACTAGGGCCTCGCACAAGTTCTCTGAGGCCATGAATAGAAGCTGAATGCTCCAGGATCAGACCCCTTAAGAAAATCTTTAGAGGGGGTCCCTTACTTCATGGGGGACAAATGCAGCCAGTGCCAGTCTTTGCCTTGGATTTGAAACCAGTTCCTTCAAGAAGGGCACCTGAACCGGGAGACAGGCTCACAGGACGGGCGACTAAGCGGCGGGGGGCGGGGGGGTTATGGGGACTCTGGGCATGATTTACCTCTTAGATCAAGGGAACCCGTTTCTTACTTCACCTCTTCACACTTGCCAATACAGACTGTCCCAAGAGGTAAAGAGTGCTTGGAGCCTGGAATGGGAGGAGAGACAGTTTCCCAGCCCCAGGCTGTCCCATCAAGTCTGAACAGGGAGGGGAGGTGCTGGAGGAAACCCGTGTGAGTGGTGGCTGCTACTTGTCCTGTCCTGTCCTCAGAAACCCTTCTCGGGGACCCAGGTTCTTGGAAAGCACAGTGATCAAGAGGATTTTTTATGGTCACTTCTAGAGAGTGTGATGGAAAGTCAGTTCTAAGGGCACTGGGCACCTCCAAGCTTCCCTCTGATGTGAGGCTGGCCAGAGCCTTCAGCTGGGAGTGGCTACAATTTGAAGCATTCGTTCCTGATCACTGCGCCCCCCAAAAGTACCATTCTCTGAACTGGGGTGGGTTTTCCCAACCCATGTCTCTCCCACCCTCAGGCCCTAAAAGGCTCTGGTTGGGACACCCCTTCTCAGCAATCAGAATACTCTGGGCTTTGTTTTGCCTCCAATCTTACCTCTCTGAGTTGCCCCTTTTGACTAAAGCACGGATAGCCGGAGGGGGCTCTTTCCCTTGTGGCTTTTCTGCTCAGCCTTTGCATGGTGAAGCGGGTCGTTTTCATTAAAGAAAGTCTGCACTCCTCTCAGGCATCCTAAAATGAGTTAAGATAGGTCCTCCGATTCGGGTCAAACAGGGCCAGAGAGCCAGAGCCCAACAAGATTATTTGCTGTGGTCGCAGAAGAGAGGACCAACAGGTCTTCCAAGTGGAGGAGCTTGAATGCGGGTGGCTCGGACTTCTCCTTCTGCCTGCCTGCCCCCCTAAGCGAAGACTTAGGTCAGGTGACCCGGGCAGGCCCTGGCAGTAACTCAGGGCATCTGGCGCTCCAGAGATGGGAGCCGTTAAGGACAGAGAGAAAAGGGGGGCCCTACCAGCTAGAGCTAAAACACACCTCGGATTAACAGGTCTATCTTACTTTTCTAACATATTCCATGAGCACCTATCTATAGGCCAGGCCTGGTACCTGCACGGTGAGCGAAAATCAGATAAGACCCCTGCCCTGTGACAACTCACGCCAAGAATTCTGCTCCACACGCAAGCAGGGGGCCCTGTGCTGCCCGAACCAAGAGCACCCTTCTGGCGTCCACAGTGACCTCCCCCCTGCAAGGGGAGGGGTCCCACCTCCTGCCAACTGAAAACCTAAAACCCTCCCCATTTTTACCTTCTGAAAAGGAGGTACAGCATGAGAACACACTCCCCTTTATACCGGCCCCACAGGGTACGAAGTAAGCCCACGGGAACATGTCAGCCCCCAATCGGTGTTTCCTTCTTTTCTAAATTAAAGACCCCAGCAGACCAGAATCCTTTGGTTCGTCGGATGACCGGGCCAGATTTTTTTTTTTTTTTTTTAAAAGCAGATCATCTTGCTTTGAAACCTCTCCTTCCCCCCAGGCCAGCTGAGGAAATGCTAACTGTACCTTGAGGCTGGTCAGGGCTTGACTTCCACCGGAGTCTCCGCCTCTCATTTGAGTTTGTCTGCGTTTGTTTTTGGCCCCTTGAAAAAGCTCTTCCCATCTCGGGGGAGATCTCCCTACTCAAGAAACACGTGTTCTCTCGAATCCCACAGGCGAGGCAACGAGACCTCTTTCGTGCCCGCTAGAAGGTCTGGAGGACGTCGGGTCATTGAAAACGCGGACGGCTCAGACGAGGAAGCAGACGCTCGCGACGCAGACTTCAACGGAACCAAAGCCAGCGAATGAATGACTCGCTGCAGATGGGACAAAACCGAACCCAGTGGACTCTGCTTAGCACCGTCGAAATCCATCCTCAGATTCCGAACACCACAGACACCCCTCACGATGACTATAAACACCACCGTCCTGAGTCCGGGGCATCATGGAACTCTTGAGTGACGTATCAAATGACAAAAACCCAACAGGCGACACAGACACACCCCCGCTGCCCCTGTCGGTGAATTGTGCAGCGACTGTGAGTTTTTTGGAAAGATCTAACTCCAGTGCCTGGTCACTGGCAACTTAGCTTACGTGACACGGGGAGGAAGTCACCAGAGCGGGTGCTGCCGCCACCTCCCGCTCCCAAGTCGCTCCCCCTGTGTCCCCTGCCCACATGTCACGTGGGCCCCTGTTTGAGTTCTTTCCCCTCCCGGTGACCACACCTCAGACGCACACAGTTCACGGAGACCAAGTGCCTTCGGCAGTCACAGGAATTAAAAAGGAGACACTGCTTCGGTGGGAACGAGCAGGAATGTTAAACACTGTTTTATACGCACCCCGATTGTACTTAAGGACACCCTCACGAATAAAAGGTTATAAATCACCGGAAGGCAGTCAGCTCTTCTGTTGTTTTTGAGAGTGAAAGAATGGGGAGGAGGGGGCATTCTTCCGGAATCCTTACGGTGACCCTGTGAAGTGAGCTAACTCTCCATCCATCAACGGGGAACCTGAAGCCGAGGGAGATGAAATAAATTGAGATCCCAAAACTGCCCCCCCTCCAAAAAAAAATCCACACAAAAAAACGAAAAACCCAGCTACCAGACATGTCCTGTGAGTCTGTGGGAGGGGGACTTCTCCAACCAGAGGGGGGCAGCTCCAGGCCCAGGAAGTACGAACGTCAGGAACGTGACCAGGAAGAGCGTCCTGACCTCTCCAAACCCATACGCACATACTGTGAAGAGTACAAGAGATCCTTGAATTTTTAGGTTGAAACCCAAGACTCCATCCAACAGGGGACAACAAACTTCCTGTGAAGGCCAGAGAGTCAGTATTTTCAGGCTACATATGGTCTGTCAAACGTGTATCTATCTTTTTTCATTTTTTTTTTTTAAAACAACCCTTTAAAAACATAAAAGCCATCCCTACTGCGGGGGCCATACAACACCAGGCTGTGGGTCATTTCCTTCCTCAGCTTGAGTGTTCCAGATAGAGATCCCTTGCAAAAGTTCTATTTAACACAAAGCAAGTCCACACACCGACTCCGTGGGGGTCCAATAGATCTGAGAAGAAATAATGCAAACCGAAAAACTCAAGCCAGTGACCATATGCAAATATACCCCAAGCAATACACACACATATCCCAAATACACTTCCTTCTAAGGAGCGGACTCGAAGTGAATTTTTACAAGTAGGGTTTCCTTTTACTGTTTAGTTACCTGGTTAAAAAACAAGTTTCTCACCACCGTGCAAACCGTGCACACAAACAGGAAAACACAAATGAAGCAGCATTTACTGACCACCACCACAAACTAGGTGAAACTTAGTTTCTCTTGATTTTATTGTTCGTTTAAAAAAATAAAAGTATGTCTTTCACCGATACAGGTTAGAATGTTCCTAGGGTAAGGAGCCGGCCAGCAGAGCCCAACTGTCTGTTGAATTTCAGTAGCACTTGCAAAGTTCTATCTTCAACTCAAGGACGTTTTTGCTATTCTTTTGGAAATATAATTTAGTGACAAAAGGTCATTAAGCTGCAGGCATGCTCCTGATGTCGTGTGTTCTTTTTACTTGCCTCCAACGGTGTGAGACGGCAGCTCACACTAAGTGGGGTTGAGTACACACAACGTCCACGTGGAAATCCCGTGTTTGTTTCTTCTTTGACAAGGAAGCTTAAGATCTCCTCAGAAACACAAGCACCTCTTCTCAGTGCCTCAGGGAGAGGCAGATTAAAAAGTCCCAGAGGTACACGACAGCATAGTTTCTTTTTAAAAAGGCATGTGCCTATTGTGCTCCTCTCTCCTAGACATGACTTCATTACACAGACACTTCCTGTGCCACAGAGCACTGGGGGATTCTGTCCTGAGGTGGGCTCACACGCCACATTTAAGGCATCTCCAGCCATTAAAAACTCATCTCAAAACCATTCAGGACTCAGGTCAGCTCACAGGGATGGGGTAGCCTCAGCTTCCACACCTCTGAGCCCTTACCAGACGGTCCCGTTTGTCCCTGTCCACACCAGCAAGGATGGGGATCATGACACAACATTTCCCTGGGATGACCATGGGCGATGGCCTTGTTGGCTAATGTGACTGTTTGCTCCTATTTCTCAAACTAACTTAAAAACACGAACACCTAGTTTAAAGAGGGGAAGAAAGGCAGGACTCCCGCACAGACACACCGGGGCTTCAGCTTCCGTGGATTTCCTAAAGCAACATCTTGACTACACCCTGGGTTGACGGCAGCGACGGTGCGGAAATATTTGAAGGCGGCTTCCCAAACTCCAGGCGTTTTCCCAACCTTCAGACAGAGCAAACCAAATTAGGCGGACATGACAGCTGTGACACACAGGCTAGCATCGGGGCCCACAAAGTTCTAACAGTGACGATCAGGAGTCAGGAACAGTGTCTCCCTGGGTGTCATTTTTCTGTCCTGTGAAATGAAGGAAAGGACACTGGCCATCTGGCTCACACATTCCCAAGGCCACACGGAAAGCCCGATCACAGAAGACCTGCTAAAAACATCCTCATCGACCGGGCTGGCATTTGCGTGTATGCCGTGGAAAAGGAAAGTCTTCTGTTTCCCGCCATCTGTCTGCCACGGGTCTCCCATGGTGACGTGGCTTGGGGGCCAGGAAGATGGCTGTATGGCTTAGAAAACGAATCAATCTAGAAGCTGCCCCCAATTTTCCTCAGGTAAGAAAACACGCAAAGTTGTCAGAGGTCAGATTTGCACTTTCCCCTCAGGTGACTGGCTTCAGGAATCGAGTCTGGGTGGGAATGTAGTGTCTTGTTTCCGGAGTTTCTAAAAAAATTGTTTTAAGGAAAAAAAAAATCCTCCTCTGGGGTAAGTAGAGCTGTGTTTGGAGCCCAAGTCCCAAACCAGGCTTTCACACAGGACATGGTCCCAGCATGATCAGGAGCTGGGGCTACCAGAATCAACTAATGAAAACTAGCCTCTTCCTGGGCATTTGCCCTTAACCAGAAGACACCACCTAACTGTGTCTCAAGGGGGTAGAGGGAAAGCTTGATGGACATAAGTCTGCAACTTTTCCAAAATGGCTATGGGTCAGGGGTTGGAGGCTCCCCCCTGGAGTGGACAGCTAAAGGTACTGACCCTTTGTCACCCAGAGGCACACCGGTGCTGCTCGGCTGTCTCTCACCGCCATCTCTGTGCCTGCTCCCCCGTCCCGAGGCTGGGCCACTTGTTCGGTTTGGGGACTGATCATACACAAAGTTCCGGCAGGACGCAAGTTTCGACTCCAGTGCCTGGAGAGAGACATGCACTCATCTTCCAAGTTAGAGACAAGAACTCCCCTCTCACCCAGAGCCTGTACACAGACAATAACCGGAAGAAGGGGTTCTCAATTCGTGTTGGATGCCGGCATTCCAGCGTGGGGCCCGGAAGGAATCCAACGTACATCAACTTTTTTTTTAAGATTTTATTTATTTATTTGCCAGAGAGAGAGCACAAACAGAGGAAATGACAGGCAGAGGGAGAGAAAGAAGCAGGCTCCCGTTGAGCAGAGAGCCCGATGTGGGACTCGATCCCAGGACCCTGGGACCATGACCTGAGCTTAAGGCAGAGGCTTAACCCCCTGAGCCACCCAGGTGCTCCCAACGTACATCAACTTTTAGAGCCACTGGCCTAAGACATTTCAGAGCTTCCAGAGAAAACAATCACCCTGCCTATTATCCAGTTCTGCCTATGGGAAATAGGAAATCCACATTCAGAATGATTTGCTCTTTTGTTCACCTCCATAAACATGCACAGAGTGATCTGTGCAGAAGCCATGTGCCTTGCTGGAAAGGGACCCCATGAAAACCAACAGGGCACTGAGGCCAGCCCACACTTCCTGTATGCTAACTACACAAAATATTAACAGAGAAATGTGTTGGGGTGCCTGGGTGGTGCAGTCGGTTAAGCGTCCGACTCTTGAGTTTCAGCTCAGGTTGTGGGATCGAGTCCTGCATCAGGCTCCACACTCAGTGCAAAGTCTGATTCAGATTCTCTCCCTCTTCCCCTGCCCCTCCCACTTATGCGCTCTCTAAAAAGAATAAATAAATCTTAAAAAAAAAAAAAAAAAAAAAAAGAGAGAAATTGTGCTTATGGTACAGAAAACCAGGCAACCAAAAGATAAAAGGAAAAACATGAGACATCAGTTGCAAGCTTCTAGAAGGTTGCAGTTCTTACTACATACATTCTGGCAGGATTTAAAATTATGTGACCCTTCCAGGCCATCATTGTTAAAAATAAAAGAAACCATCACAAAGAATACCTATGTTATTTCTTAAGCACAAAAGAATCTTCCCCTGTAATGAATATAAAACCTATGAAATTAAAGTTTTTTGCCCTAGCCTTTTGAGATTTTTGTCTTTAACTCCCTAAGAAACTTTTAAAAAGGTAATTTTTAAATGTTTCTCAGGTTTTTTTCAAATTAGGAAAAAAGAAATCATAGGGGTGCCTGGGTAGCTCAGTGGGTTAAAGCCTCTGCCTTCGGCTCAGGCGTCCTGGGATCAATCCCTGCCTGAGTCAGGCTCTCTGCTTGGCGGGGAGCCTGCTTCCTCCTCTTTCTACCTGCCTCTCTGCCTACTCGTTATCTCTGTCAAATAAATAAATAAAATCTTTAAAAAAAAAAAAAAAAGAAAAGAAAAGGAAAATCAGACACCAACCAAATTTCTGAAATCCCAAAGGAAAATGGCAGGGAAAGATATGCCCAGGCATCAAAGGGAAAACAGTCAGAGCTCTGGGTGTTTGTTAGGAACTCGAACAGAAGCAGAGTTTTGCCTAAAACACAGGGAATCTCTGCTAAAGGGGAAAGGAACCGGAAAGGTCACCTGTCTCCGATATCCTGAAACACAGGCAAGGAGCCCGGGGAGGTGGCGGTCTTACCCCTACTTTCCGAAGCAGGTCTCCCACAATGTTGAGGGCCGATATCCGTGCTGCAGGAGTGAGGGGGGTCCCACCCGTGGAGTCGTCCAGACCTGGGTGTGCAAAAGGAAACACACATAACATCAACCCGCAGCCCTAAGTCTGTGCACTAATATCCCTCAACGCAGAACCACGGGGGTGTACTTGGGAAGCTTACTCTGCCCTCCGATCCCGCAGGCGGCCCTGGTGCACTCACTAGTTACCTAACACAGGCAGAGTCTATCTGAGGACCAACTTTCTGCAGCCTTACAACCACTATATTAAATGTTTAACTTTACGTGTTCTTCTTTTAAAACAAAATCAAAGTAAGTCCTTTTGGAGCTCTAGGAAGTCTACAGAGTTAGGAACAGCATTGGAGCAAACCACATTTGTAAGGGGCTTAACTCTCCGGAGCCCCTCCCTCTCCTCCAAGCAGGACTCAGGGACCAGCGGCACCAGCATCACTGGGGAGCTGGTTAGGACGCAGGATCTCAGGCCCTGCCCAGACCTGCTGAATCTCGGGGGCATACTCAAGTGTGGAAAAAACCCTGCTCTAGACTGTGATTCTCGAAGAACCACTGGCCTCTGGATCCCAGGGGCAGGCTAAGGGATAAAACAGCATGAGCCCTGCAGCTGGCCTGGGTCTGAATCCCAACTCTGCTATCTACCAGGTATGATTTTAGGTGAGCTCCTTTATCAGGGCCTCAGTCTCCTCATCCACCAAATGGGGATAGCACTTGCCTCTAGGGCCTGTGGTGAGAATTCAGTGAGGTCATATATATGCAAAGCACAGCAAGGAGAGCGGCTAACTAGCACAGGCCGAGCACTTAGTAACTGTCTATCGTTGTCGCTTGCTGTTAGGTGGCCCGGTAACAGTCTCAGTTCCTCAGCAGAGGAGCTGTGGAGAAAACTCAAAGTTTTTACGTTTTTACCATGCAGCCCAGGTACACCAGCTCCACTTCTAGGCTACTCTTGCTTATCTCAAAGCTGCTCCCCACTCTGCTGGGAACACCCCAGTTTGCTCCCTGCAGTACAGCCTGGGCCCGTGGTCCCTCTCACCCAGGACACGACCCCTGGGAAAGCTTTGTGAAGCAAAGAAAATGCTCCCGATGGTTCTTCCCTTACCGCGTCTGAACGCCCCCGGCGTGTTTAAGCTAGCGCCGGGTCCCCGATGAGCCACGGGTGTGGACGGCACGGAGCCAGTGGCCTGCACGGCTGTGTCTGTCCTTTCGGCCTCCACTGAGCTGGGCATGGGGGTCCTGGGCTTCTCCTGCTTCTGCTGCACGGCCAACTCCTGCCGCAAATCTGAGCCAGGACAGAATTCAGATTAGGTTGTTGCTTCGGGGGATGGGAGAAGGGTGGGGAGGGTCAGCAGGAGACACTGGTCAGGGAAAAGAAGTATCAGAAGGAAAAACCGTAGGTGGAAACCCTCAACGAGGTGAAATCCCCAGGATTTGGCCTAGCGGGCCTATAAAACTACATGATTTTTTAGCAAAAACAAAAAGATTTAAAAATTTTTAAAAACTATGGCAGTGGTAGATACAAGAATGCTTTTCTTGCTTCAAAACAATTTCACTGCAGTTGGGTATAGAGAATACTAAGTGAAAATATGCTTTCCCAACCCATCCCCAAATGCCCTTCCTCGCTCATAATCACTGTAATATGGGGGAAATATTTTCAATCCTTTTTTTCCTGTATTTTCAGACAAAGAATTTACATGTATCTCTATTAAGCATATAATAATTCTTATTAAGTATAAATAGAAATATAGCTACAGTCCAGCAGAGTATGTCTTCATCTAACCATATTTATATCTACACCTTGTCTAACGATTATTTAATGTTCCAGAATATAAATCTGTGTAATTTGTTCAACTGTTTCACTACAGACGGGCATTTATACAACCACCTTTCGGACTTAAAAAGAATTTTGTCTTAGGGGGACTTGGGTGGCTCAGCTGGTTAAGCCTCTGCCTTTGGCTCAAGTCATGATCTCAGGGTCCTGGGCTTGAGCCCCACATCAGGCTTCCTGCTCATCAGGGAGTCTGCTTCTCCCTCTCCCTCTTTTCCTCCCCCTGGTCATGCTCTTATAAATAAACTCTTTAAAAAAAATAATAAAAATAAAGGGATACATGCACCCCAATGTATATTAAAAGTTTTTTTTTCTTTTTAATCCTCCTTCTACTAGCTATATGTTAGAAACTAAATGTTATGAACAATTAATTGGGATGTTAAAAAAAAAAAAATCTCTTCTGCATCCAGATCTACCTCTGGAACCAGGAACTTCCATGGAGCAAATGGTGATGGGAATTCAGAGCTCTAAGCCACAAGAACAATGGGCTAGTGAGCAATTCCATCCATAAGAACTTTCTCCCCATAGGGGCGCCTGGGTGGCTCAGTGGGTTAAGCTTCTGCCTTTGCCTCAGGTCATGATCCCAGGGTCCTGGGATCGAGCCCCATATAGGGCTCTCTGCTCAGCAGGGGGCCTTCTTCCCCCGCCTCTCTCTGCCTACTTGTGATTTCTCTGACAAATAAATAAATAAAATCTTTTTTTAACAAAAAGAACTTTCTCCCCACAAAACTCTTATACACCTATCAATCAAAAAGCCAGCCAGGGGTGGATTTAAATATCTACAAGGGGTCTCTAGAGGGTCAGACATCTGACAGTTCTGAGCAGGGGATGGGGACCAAGGCTGAAACCTGCTCAGTGTGGTTCTGTACCCTGTGACCAGGCTGCCAGTGTGCCGAGCAGGGAACGGATTTCTAGCAAAGGTAACACTGGGCAATATTGCAGGACAAGATGTTCTCAGGTAGGCAGACGGGGAAACACTGGTGAACTAATAGAACAAAGTCAAGGCCTCCTGACCTCTGGCTTCATCCTTCAGCCGCTGAACAGATTCTAGAAGATTCTCCTTCTCATCCAGTTCGCTCTCCAGGAAGGCATTTCTTTCAATGGCTTGATTCAAACGCTGCTCAAAGTCTTCCAGAGACATGATTGTGGCCCTGGTAAGAGAAAAATAAAGCTGTCCAAGAGAGCAAATGGCAGCATCCATTTGGTGCCTACAGATCTGGCAGAGAAGAAAGGCCAGACACGGCAGGGAGCATGAGTCTCAGCACGGGCACTTCTTAGACATCATGGACCTGAACAAGCACCTTAACCTTCCAGGACCCAGACTCTTTGCCTGCAGAATGGGAATCATCTTAGCTCTCGGGGTACACAAAGCTGTCCTGGGGACTGAATGACAAATGTCCATATAGCACTTAGCAATGAGCCAGTGCCTTTTTAGGATGACACAGAGAGCCCCAGTCAAATGCCAAAAGCAGCAAATCTTCCCTTGGGAGACTCACAGTGCAAATCGTTATTCAGAATATCCTACTAAAATCCGTACACAACTTAATAATGTACATTTAAACAGGGAGAAGAGCCCATCTTTAATTTTTCAGTTACCTTAAATCAAAATGCCCAGCTGCCCTCCTAAAAACCATTTCCTCTTGTGACCAGTATAGACATTTCACTGGACTGCTATTAAAGGCACTGAGAAGTGCTGTAATAAAGAAATGTGTCTAACTCTGAGGCACAGAGCAGGTGGCTTGCCCACACGGTTGCCTTATGTGCAAAGCACGGGTAAGTCACAGTACCTTCGCATGGTGGTGGGGGTGTCGGAGGTCAAGTAATACCTGAAGCCCCCAACAGATGTTTCGCACATGAGTCCTCAATAAATGCCAGCAGTATTTTTTTCCTTAAGGATTTTATTTATTTGACAGAGAGAGAGACAGAGCAAGAGAGGGAACACAAGCAGGGGGAGTGGGAGAAGGAGAAGCAGGCTTCCTGCTGAGCAGGGAGCCCAACGTGGGGCTCAAACCCCGGACCCTGGGATCATGACCTGAGCCAAAAGCAGGCACTTAATGATTGAGCCATCCAGGTGCCCCAATGCCAGCAATTTTTATGCTGTTAATTGTTATCTCAAGGTGGTTGGAAGTGTATGTTTGGAGCAGAGCCCCAGAAAACCTGGCTCTTCAATGTAAGACCAGCTAATAACGGTTCTTAGGCAGCTTAACCTTAACCTTAACCGCTGGTCCCCCAATTGCAAAGTAAGGATCAGTTCATGAATTCATCCATGCAACACATCCTGCTGTGTCCAGACTGAATTGTGTTCCTACCCTCCCCCTCAAAGGGTCTTCAGAGAAAAACAGTTACCAAAAGTGCTTAAATAAAAACAACAAAGGAAGGACATTTAGGTGCGTAATACTGGAATCAGTTAAAATCACCCTAAAGGGGCGCCTGGGTGGCTCAGTGGGTTAAGCCTCTGCCTTCGGCTCAGGTCATGATCTCAGGGTCCTGGGATCGAGCCCCACATCAGGCTCTCTGCTTGGCAGGGAGCCTGCTTCCCCCTCTCTCTGCCTGCCTCTCTGCTTACTTGTGATCTCTCTCTCTCTCTCTCTCTCTCTGTCAAATAAATAAATAAAATCTTTAAAAAAAAAAAAAATCACCCTAAAGGCCTGACATGTCAAACAACAAATGAAAAAGATAAAATGCATAGCAATTCATGTAACAGCAAAACATGTAGGATTTTACCACAGAGCACGGAAGTCTTGGTGAAATGTAGATGTATGGTGTTTGTGAAGAGAAAGACCCAACATCACAAAGAAATCCATTCTCCATTAAGTTACCAGATAGTTCAACATCCTAGCCAAAATATTAATAGGTTTTCATTGGGGACAGTAGCACAGGGGTCTGATAAAGAAGAGCATGTGATAATAAAATAGGAATGGGGCGCCTGGGTGGCTCAGCGGGTTAAAGCTTCTGCCTTTGGCTCAGGTCATGATCCTGGGGTCCTGGGATCGAGCCCCACAACGGGCTCTCTGCTCAGCAGGGAGCCTGCTTCCCCCTCTCTCTCTCTCTGCCTACTTGGGATATCTGTCAAATAAATAAATAAAAATCTTTAAAAAAAATTAAAATAAAGTAAGAAAGGCCAGAAGCACTCTGAAAAGGCGAGAAGAGCTCTCCCGGATATAAAGAACACACTGTCATAAATCCTCAACGGAGAGTTGAGGTGGTGTGGCATTTAACAATTATGGGGGCAGACTGGGAAGACCCCAAGATCCAGAAATACATCCAAATACAGAGGAGAACTTAATTTATGATAAAAGCGACACCGCAAACATTGATGAAAAGGTGATTGATTCAGGGGAACCACGGTGGCTCAGTGGGTTAAGCCTCTGCCTTCGGTTCAGGTCATGATCTCAGGGTCCTGGGATCGAGCCCCGCATCAGGCTCCTCGCTCAGCGGGGAGTCTGCTTCTCCCTCTACCCCTCCCCCTGGTTGTGCCCGCTCTAATAAATAAATAAACTCTTAAAAAAGAAAGACAGGGGCGCCTGGGTTGCGCAGTTGGGTTAAAGCCTCTGCCTTCAGCTTGGGTCATGATCCCAGGGTCCTGGGATTGAGCCCCCCCCCCCCGCCTACTTGTGATCTCTGTCAAATAAATAAATGAAATCTAAAAAAAAAAAAGAAAAGAAAAAGCCAGAAACAAAGAAGGAGAGAGATGGTTGGCTCAATTCCAGGTTTGGAGTCTACTAAATAACCACCCAGAAAAAATTAGCATTGGCTCCATACATCATACTACACCCCAAGATAAATTGAATCAAAAGTTTCAACACCTCTGTATTTGGTCAGAATCTATTACTGGCTTCCGGAATGCCAAAGAACTACGGACCAACTTAACAGTTTCTTTCTTTTTTTTTTTTTTTTTTAAGATTGCATTTATTTATTTGACAGACAGAGATCACAAGTAGGCAGAGAGGCAGGCAGAGAGAGGAAGGAAAGCAGGCTCCCTACTGAGCATGTGGGGCTGGTATGGAATGGTAATTCCATTTACCATGTATGTTAAATTTACATGTAAATTTCATTTACCCGATGTGGGGCTCAATCCCAGGACCCTAGGATCATGACCTGAGCTGAAGGCAGCGGCTTAACCCACTGAGCCACCCACCCCCTTAACGGAGTTTCTGAACCGATGAGGATCGATCCTCATCATGACCATACATGATTATACAGTCAGCACTGGTAATACCAGCGGGGCATGGCACTTAGATGTGCTGTCACTGTGGGAATATTGGCTCTCCAAGAAAGGTAAGCATCCTGTGGCTGTAACCGGGGTGAAAATGGCTTCATGTGCTTCTTTTGTTAAGATTCTGTCAAAAAGTGTATTTATCAGAACAGGAAAATGCTCTGTACCCAGTCTGCAAACTGGTAATCTCCTATACCATTACGGAGAATTGGAAAAGAGCTAGATTTTCGGTAAAGATGACTGTTAAGAAATACGTTTGGTAGATAACTAAGAACATTCTTTTTGAGCCTATAAATGCTTTAAAAATCTACGTACCACCCCCATGCATCAGAGTGGCCGGTGCCAAAAGAACAGTAAGCAACAAAAACCAGCGGGGACTGGAAATGTTGGAGCTTTTGTTCACTGCCTGTGAGAAGGTGAAATGGTGGGTCATTATGAAAACAGTTGTGGAGGTACCTTAAAAACTTAAAGAGGGAGCGGCCCACGGGGCGCCTGGGTGGCTCAGTGGGTTAAAGCCTCTGCCTTCGGCTCAGGTCATGATCCCAGGGTTCTAGGATGGAGTCCCACATCAGGCTTTCTGCTCAGCGGGGAGCCTACTTCTTTGCTTACTTGTGATCTCTCTTTGTCAAATAAATAAAAATAAAAAATCTTAAAAAAAAAAAAAGATGGAGGGGCCCCTGGGTGGCTCAGTCAGCTGGGCAAATGACTCGTGGTTTTTTGGCTCAGGTCGTGATCTCAGAGTTAGGAGATCGAGCCCTGCGTCAGGCTCTGTGCTTAGAGTGGAGTCTGCTAAGGACTCCTTCGTCTAACCTCTGCCCCTCCTGCCTGCTCTCTCTCGCAAATACATAAATAAATCTTTAAGAAAAAAATGGAATGGTAATTCCATTTACCATGTATGTTAAATTTACATGTAAATTCCATTTACCAGTATGATCTAGCGATCACACTGCTGGACGTATATTCGCAAGAAGTGAAAGCAGGATCTCAAAGAGATATTTGTACTCTCGTGTGCATAAAAGCATCATTCACAACAAAGAAGCAGAATTGACCCCAATATCCACGAACAGATACAGGGATCAAGAGAATGTGGTATATACGGTTGACTTTTGAACAACGCAGGGGCAATGGGCACCGACCCCTCACATAGTCAAAAATCTGCATATAACTCTCGACTCTGAAAAATTAACTACTAATTGCCTACAATCAACCAAAAGCCTTACTGACAACATGAACAGCTGATTAACACATAATAGTTATGCCGTATGTATTACATACTGTACTCTACAATAGAGTAAGCTAAAGAAAATGCTATTAAGTAAATTGTAAGACAAAATACATTTATAGTACTACCCTACATCTATTGAAAAAAAATTGCCTATGTGAGTGGACCCATGCAGTTCAAACCTGCATTGGGTCCACTCTATATACATAGGAATATTATGCACTCTTAAAAAAGATAGGGAAATCCTGTTGCACGCTACAACATGGGTGAGTCTCAAGGGCACTAGGCTAAGAAAACAATTTGTCCCACAAGAAGACAAATACTGCAGGATCCACTCCTACAGAGTATCCACAGTAGTGAAAAATCACAGAAAGCAGAAAGGGGATTACCAAGGGCCGGAGGGAGGACAGAAGAGGATTTAATGCTTAGTGGGTGCAAGTCGCAATGTTGCAGGATGACAAAGGTGTGGAGAGCTGTTGCACAATAATATGAACACACTTAATGCTACTCAACTGTACACTTAACACTGGCTGGGGCGCCTGGCTGGCTCAGTCAGTCAGGCATCCGCCTTCAGCTCAGGTCATGATCTCAGGGTCCTGGGATTGAGCCCCGCATCAGGCTTTCTGCTTCACAGGGAGTCTGCATCTCCCTCTCACCTTGCCGTTCCCCCTGCTTGTGCTCTCCCTCTGTCAAATAAATAAAATCTTTTAAAA